ATCTACAGTATTATTGACTATAGGGTGGGTCAAGTGACTTGATGTGATTGTCACCATAGTAAGATAAAACTGCACAAAAACATAAAATTAAGTAATGTGCTGGTTGACTCTTGATAAGAATGAAGATGAGACAGAAACCCTTAATCACAGGCCTACCAAAAAAAAAATCCATTTATAAAACAAATGAATTCGGAAACTTATGTTTGTACCAGCTGTGTTTTCTCCCAGGATCTTGCCAATTTATCTCTGCATCTATGTCTTTTTTTGACAAAATTTTTTTATTAGCTTGAAATTCTCCTCTATGACTAAAGTTGGAGGGGGGGGATAAAAGGGAAGTTAGTCTTACCGAGGTGGATTCAACAGATATGTGAGCACAACCTATCACAATAGACCACTGATAAAAAGGGGTGGAAAATTAAAATAGATGCATTAAGACTGTATGTTTACCTAGATGCATTTTACTTTCTTTTGTTTAATCCTGTCTCATTTGAATATATCCCATATATCTCTTTAATTCAAATTTTATTAGAGATTAAGTATGGAAAATTTTCAGACAAAGCTTGTTAAACTCCTGACATTTCTTATAAATAACTTGGAAAGACTTACATAAACAAGCTTTGGTCAGAAGAAACATTGACCAGTCTGGTAGATATTAAATGTTTGTCATGATAGATTAGATTTACTGGTCTAGTGGAAGAAGTTGATGAAGTTTCCACTAGAAAGTTCTTGGTAAGGTTATGTAAACAATCAAGTCACCAGGAAAGACTGGGTATTTTATCTCCTTCATTGGCTAATTTCTTTGCAATTTATATTCATTGTGAAGGTACGTGGGAGCTTTTGTATCTGAAAAGTACTCTTTAATTTCTGTTATTTGTGAGGTATGCCAATCTTCACGGAATTAGATGTTGATTAAAACAATGAATTTTAATAAAATACTGAACTTAAGGATTCTTATTTTTGTGATTTGTAGAAATTTCATTTGTCTCTGGATTTTTAACTCATTGTTTCAGACAAATACCAATGGAAAAAAAATGCATTATATTTCAATGAATCACAAATAATTCCCTTTTATTCTTACTTCAAAAACATATAAAATTGAGAATAGAAATGGGGAATGTGTCAAAGAGATAACAACTCGACCAAAGAGCAGAAAACAGCTCAAGGCCACCAATGGGTCATCAACACAGCAAGAAAATCCTGCACCCAGAGGCAGGATTTAGCTGGCCCCTAAACAAAAATGTATACTGGTTCAGAGAATCTGCTTGATAGTAACCTCATTGTTTGAGAAAAGGATAAAGATTTGAGAAAACTGTCACATGACATTAATCAAGAGATGACTTATAAGTAATAAAGTTATTTTAAAATTTATTCTGGTAGAAACATAGCACCTATATATAATGATGTTGACGGCCATCAATCAATAAGATAAATCAATTACATAATAGACAGTTACAAGATGAAGTGCAGTAATAAAATTGATGTACTTTGATAAATATAGTTTCATTTCTCACTTTAACTACTTGTTTTATGTCACTCCATACCCTGTATAAATTCTTTCTGATTTGCATGTAATATTTGCTACTGGTCATTAAACACCAATGCATTATCATCATCTTTATCCTTCATTAGTTCTTCAAAATAAAAATTGCAGAAAGGCCAACATTAGTTCCTTGTTTTCAGATAATGACCTCATATATGGATATTTCATTAAATGATATGTGCACTGTTGGAACTTAGAAAATAATAAATTCAATAGTTAAACCATATGGACAGTATATTTTGATAAATATTTATATCATTGATAATAGTTGATTTTTGACATTGATTAATGTGTATAGATAAGTAGAAACATATTAATTTGTCATACCAATAGGTACCAATAAAATACAAATAAATTTTATATCTTTTTCTCATAGGTTTACACTATTCATCATGGTGGGCTTTCAAATCAAACATTTTGACAGCATCTTTTGAAATGAGTTATTTTCACCCATACAAAATGAAGCATTCAGATCTTTTACATGCTTTAGATTAAATATTTGATCAATGAGCTAATTGCAGTGGACTTTATAGGATGATAATAAGGCAGATCTCTTTGAGAGTGTCATTTTATTGTTAAGAATGACTTTTCCTGTCAAAGAAAATGGGTAGTAATTTGTCTCATACTGACCACTGTTATCAAAATATGAGATAGGCCAGATGGCAAAATTTGTCTTATTTATTAGCTACTTGAGACATTTAGAGAGAGTGCTTATCAACAGATAATTGTTTTATTATAATTTAATGTTTATTAGATTTATAGTACTGTATATGAATTGTAAGAAGTTTCTTATATACAAAATTATTTGGTTAACAATGAAATGGTTATTTCGGAAGACCTAAACTCTGTTCTCTTTGTTTTCCTTTATCAAATTTGCCTTTTCAGTCAGTGATCTTATATTACCTCATCAAAATTACAAAGGAAGAATCTTTTAACTAAATGAAACCATAAAAATCGAGTTTTTAGGAATGACAATGAATCATAAAATCTTAAATATCCTTGAAATGGTATATATTTCAAAGGATCAGCTGCCACTTTCATCTCTTTGTTTTTTCCTGTTTATTGCTTTGTTTTGTTCAGTTCACCATTGCACTCTCAATTCACTCTCCATTTTAAACACTGTCACTTCAAGCTTTGTTCTTTTCTTTCCTTCTTCTGTCCTTTGGCCTGTCAGCTTTTTCCATAGATATTGTTTTCCTCCAATCTTCATACTCTTCCTTTAAGTTTTCTTCTTTACCTTTTAACTGTATCTTTGAAGTTCTGCATTTGAACATTTCCCTTCAAGTCTTTCATTTGTCTTCCATTTGAAATATTATTAATTAAAAATATGGTCATCAAAGAAAGGTTGATATAAGGAAAATCATCAAAACATATAGAGTTCTTGATCTTGAAGAATGAAAGAAAAAAAAACCCTGTTTAGAGGAATTATCTTAGATATTGTGACTGTCCTAACAACAAAACCAATAATATTTTTTGTAAAATACTTGGTATATTTACATATTAGTAGTCTCCATTCATAAGATTTATTGAAATAATAGATTTTATTTTGAATGAAAACAAATCTTGCCAAGCTTAAGAATTAATGGATTTTGCCAGTGATTTGTTGCTATTAAGTTTACATGGACCATCTGTCAGAGCTAGTCCTGGCACCTCTGAGTCTGTCTTATCCAATTGATACTATAGATTTTAATGGTTGGAACTTTATCATTAAAACTGATGTTTGTTGAAAAATAAGCTGTGTTTGATCTCTGTGTTTCCTAAGCAAACTGCTGCCAGTACTGTGCTCTAGGTTTGAATTACATGAAACAGTGAAGCATGTTTAATCGCTGGTTGCTGTCTGTTATATTTGTTTTTCATTATTGTTTAGTCATTAATCAGGCCGTTGGTTTTCCTTGTTTGAATTGTTTCACATTTTGTCATGTCAGAGTCTTTTATAACTGACTATTCACTATGGGTTTTGCTGATTGTTGAAGGCTGTACTGTGACCTATAGGTGCTTAAGGACTCTGGTGAATAGTTGTCTCATACGAAATCATGCCACATCTCCTAATTTTTATAAGAAGGCAATAAAACAGCAGAAATTGAAAAGCTAAAATCAGAAAGCTAGAGATGAAACATCATTCACCCAACAATCATAGTCAATTTGTGTGTTTTGTAACAGGTTTCTGTTTTAGTAAAGTACTTTTTGACTCCCATATAGTCAGGACAACTTTGAAGCCTAACAAAAAACAAAATTAATTTAGTCAGAGAGATGAAAGAAGGTTATATCATACCCCATTAAGTGCAGTAATGCACATAATCATAAAGTGTAAAGAGAAAAGTTTCTTTTCTGCAGAATGTAATTCACCTTATGATCTTATTATTAGACATAGGCCAGATGCAATATTTCTCCCAGGACTGCTTTTGTAGGGAAGTAAGGAGCAAGCTGGTATTAAATTGTCCCATCAAATGTAAAACAAATCCCCTTAAAGAGCCATTGGATATTATCGAATAGTTACTTTATGATCCACAACGGACATTAAACAATGGATGAAGGTTAAAGGTTAACTTGTTAAAGAGATAATGGCTAATTAGTATTCAGTCCCTGATCTCAGCATGATTCACACAGCTTATATAGCAGGTGGTTGTCTGCTTAAGATTTAAAGAAAGGAAACAAGTTCTTGCAAGAATCATTAAAAAACACACACACTTAAAAAAAGAAAAAAATAGCATTGGGAATAAATTAGTATAGCCATCAATATACACTAAAACATAGCTATATAGTTACACCATGAAAATTAATTTGATTTAGTGTGTGCCTTGAGACTGCCTGTTACCTTTGATCAGGCTAAAACGAAGGCACGTATATTATTTTGACTACTGGTAAATTTAAAAATTTTATCCAAACTATCTTATTAAAGGTACCTTCTCATAAAGATAAACAACAAAACATTGCAGTAAAGAGATGGTAAAGCCTCTTTGTATCAGTCTATCCATCCCTAAAATTCTCTCTTAAAGGCACTATAGAGATACATTCTTTCATCCTATCATCATCAAATATGCATTGTCCAATGCTTTGCTAGTACTGCTGTATTTGGTCATGATGAGAGCTTGAATCCCTCTGAATTTTATTTTTAAAGGTTAAAGTTATAACTTGATTCAAGATATTAAGATTTATATTCACCATGACACAGTCTTCATCAACAGCAATCTGGGACATGGAAAAACTTGAATCTTGTTTAATTTTAAAATTCATTGGACATTAGGTTAGTTTGCCTGATAGCATTACTGTCATTTATATGAGATAGTGAGCATGGTGAGAGAATTTCCTACCTTGCAATACTGGTATCAATGTTTTCAGTTTGTCAATGATATGGCTTGAAATAATAAAAACACGTTGATGGTTTTATTTTAAAAGTACTGACTAACCCATAGATTCTTTTTCAATTCTTTTCAAAATTTGATAACCTCTATTATTGCAGGTATCTAATGGATTGCTAAGCAGAGTTAATATGGCTAACCAGAACTTCAACAAAGATATAGAGCTGGCACCTAGAGTTTCTCCAGAGTTTGAGCTGACCTTAGATTCTACCCCAGTACAACATTCAATACAGACAATGAACTTTTTCCAAATGAAAGGTAAGCTAGCGTTACACACTGGTATAAAAATAAGGAGATGAGGTATGATTGCCAGTGAGACAGCTATCAATCAAAGTTCAAATAAAGTGGATGTAAGCAATTATTGTCGGCTATAAAAGGCCCTGACATGAAAATTATGAAATAATTCAATTGAGAAAACTAACGGCCTAATTTATAACAAAACAATTAATGAAAAACAAATATGACAGACATGAAATAACGAAAACCACTGAACTACAGGTTCCTGACTTGGGACAGGCGCATAAAGAATGTGGCAGGGTAAAACATGTTTGTGAGTACTCAACCCTCCCCCTAACCTGGGTAATTTGTTTTACATATACATTGTAGTTTAAAAATCTTATAATGATGCTATCCTAAATGTCTGTGTTAAACACCCTATAACTTTCAATATAAGCTTTTTAATTTCTGCATATATATCTTTATGATATAAAGGACTACCAATACTTTGTTTGGAAAGGGAAGCTACGAGCACTGATAAATATTTATAAACACTATAAGAATAAAACAAAAATATTTTTTTGTTTTCCATTCTGTGCAGATGATTATCAATTTGCTAATATTTGACATCAAAGTGATAAAAATGTCAATTTCAGTATTGAAAAAAATCAGTTTGCCAGAGCAAGAAAATCAGTTTCTTTTCTTGTCTAGATTATCACAAAAATATTTATCCTATCCTTGACATTAAACCAGCAATTGTCAAAGGCACAATCAGAATTTGTATATAAAAACTTCCTTTTTACTTGTGATTAGATAAAGCTGTGTTTATTTTCATCTATCAAGATTTAAAAAAAATATGTTCAATACTGATGTACTTTCAACGTTCTGTAATCACTTCAGCAGCAAATCGTTCTTAATTCTGGCTAACACTTATATGTAACACAACGCAGACAGACAGCTTTAAGCTGAAACATTTTGTGACACAAAATAATCTTAGTACATAATAAATAGTTAAAAACTTATCCAACATTTTCACAATAGATTTAGGGAAAATGACCACATATTTAAATCGGTTAACCATCTGATAAATTAAAGTAATATACAAAATGTATATAATTTTAACCTATTATATGGTACTGATTTGAATTATTTCTTTCTTATTAGTTTTACTCTTGAAAAATTAGAATATCTTATTAGTTCACTGTAAAATTCTTTATAATTTGAATCTATCAGATGGGACAACAAGTAAGTAACCATTGCATGGAGTACCACTTTTATGTTACATATTTGTCTGTAAATTATGTTGTATGTTGAACACTATTAGTTGTGTATTGTTATGAACTGTTGGTTATTTCAAATCAATATTGCCAATGGTATGCATGAATTCCTGAATTCCATTTTCTTTTTTTAGCTCAAATTAAATATTTTTTTCCCATTTTTATGTCCCATCACCGGAGGGGGCATTAAGTGTTACCTTTGTCAGTCCATAATCCATACGTCCGTCCCTCCATCCATACGTATATACTTCCCAAAATTGGTTTCCATTCTCTAAGTTTAGTTTGCCTCAACCAAATGTTATGAAACTTATACACTGCTTATTACCACAAAACACAAATCAAGTTTGAAAGTTGGTTGGCGTCACTTTTACTGTTCTAGAGTTATGCCCCTTTATAAATGGAATAATTGGTGAATTTTACGTTTCTGTTCTCTAACTTGAGTTTGCCTCAACCAAATGTTATGAAACTTATACACACTGGCATCACTTTTACCGTTCTTGAAGTATGCCCCTTTATAACGTTATATGCAAGTGGGGGCATCATCTGTGTCCCAGGCACATTCTCCATTTATTTTTATTTTTTTTTAAGGAGGGGGAGTTGGTTGAATCCAACTAAAGACAGTATGAGCAAACATACCCTAAATCTCTTGTCAAAAAATAGAAAATGATTTTTCTAGATTATTATTTAATACGTTTCCATTATCTTTGTATGGTATATTAACCTTGGTGTATAGAATTTTAATGAAATCTATATAAGGCAAAAAGATAAATGGAGAGACATGGGAATTCATTTGGTCTGAAATAGTATGTCACTAATGAACATTTCTCTAATTGTAACAGCTACAATCCCTTCAGAGAAAATTGCTAACTGTCATCTCTTTAATAGACATTCCTAATCGAAGAAAAAATGTCTATAGAAATGACACGTTATGGATAAAGATATACAATGCCTCTGTTTTGCTTTTGAAAAAACACATATCTCCTACTTTTTCTTGTGATGACTCTTTATCCATTTTATTAAATATCTGTATGGCATTTTAGTATTTTTATTTTTTTTGCATATATTGATATATTTTACATGGTTATATCTTAATGTTTTGTATTTATTATGATTGGGTAGTATTTTAAATTTCAAATAGAAAGTTTCAAAATTCCATAGATGACATAGAGCTGGCATTAAGTCAGGATAACAAATGTGTTTTTATTATGCCCACGCCATAGCGGAGGGGGCATTAAGTTTTACCCTTGTCCATCTGTACGTCCGTACGTCCCAAAGTTGGTTTCTGTTATCTAATTTTAGTTTGCCTCTACCAAATATTATGAAACTTATACACAATGCTTATTACCACAAAATACAGATCAAGTTTGAATTTTGGAGGTGTCACTTTTACTGTTCTAGAGTTATGCATGCCCCTTTACAAATGGAAAAATTGCTTAATTTTTCGTTTCCATTCTCTAACTGAAGTTTGTCTCAACCAAATGTTATGAAACTTATACACAATTCTTATTACCACAAAACTCAGATCAAGTACAAATTTGGGTAGTGTCAGTTTAATCGTTCTTCAGTTATGTCCCTTTATAACTTTATATGATATGTAAGTGGGGGCATCATCTGTGTCCCATGGACACATTCCCCATTTATTAAAAGTATAAATTTCATCTTTGAAAAAGCAATTCAAAATCAAGGACAAAAATTCCAGTAAACTTTTTGTTATTTACATCAATTTGGTACTACCCATATCATATGTAACTCAATGATTCATTTGCATAATTATGTATTTTATATCATTTTTTTTTGCATCTAATAAGGGTATTACCAAATCTTAATGTAAAGGCACGGTTTGTTACCTGTATGGCATACCACTACTGGTCTAGGCCGGAAATAGTTGGAATTTTATACATTTCTCATTTACACCTCTATCTCCTTTGAATTAATATAAAATTTATTATGAAATACCTGTATTGAACTACTTAAAAATCCTGGATGTAAGCGTGGGTTTATACCTTTGTTTTACCTGCATGGCATGCCAATGCTTGTTTCAGTCGGAAAATAGTCAGAATTCCCAATGATTTTATACATTCCTCAATTACAGCTCAATCTCCTTTGTATCAATATAAAAATTTGTGATGGAAGTACAAGTACTCAAAATCTGAAAATTAGGTTTTACCTGCATGGCATGCCATTTCTTCTCTCAGTTAGAAAATAGTCAGAATTCCCAATAATTTGTTGCATTCCTTATTTACAGCTCAATCTCTTGTGTATCAATATGAAATCTATTTTGAAGTACATGTACTCAATAGCTTTTCTGATATCTTTTGATATCAGATCAATAGTGCACTTGTGCTTCTTGAAGATGATAATTTTGATTAAAATGCAATTATTACTCAAGAGAGATTTTGTAACATTTTTAGATGTTAGATCTCATAAAAGAAAAATTAAAAGAAAAACTGAAAAACTAACATAGTACTTTCAAGCACCTCTTACTTTTTACTGTCAGGTTTATTTTACTTGTAATAGTGTCATGACTAGTCAAAGATAATTTCTAGGCAATTTATTTTTAGCAACTGGATCTCATAATCGCAAAATTAAAATAAAAACTGAAAAACTAAGAAATTGCTTTCAAGCACCTTTTTCTTTTTACTGTCAGGTTTATTTTACATACAATAATATAAGATTTGTCAAAGATGATTAGCTGTATGTTTTTTAGGGACTGGATCTCTTGAATGCCAAATTAAAAAAAAACAGAAAAAAAAAAACAAGAAATGACTTTGAAGCACCACCTTCTTTTTACTATCAGTTTTATTTTACTTACAATAGTGTAGGATTCATCAAAGATAATTATCTATATGTTTTAAGCAATTGGATCTCATAAATGCCAAATTAAAAGAAATACAAAAAATGCCAAGAAATTATTTCAAGCACCTCTTAGTTCTTATCAGTCAGCTTTTTTTTTAATAAGTACAGCATTGTAAGTTGACTAGTCAAAACAATCATTAGTAAATAATTAGCAATATATATTTTTTGGTCATTTAATTAATGCTATGGTGAAAGTATGATGAGTTGTTTTGGAATCAGTAATGCACATAATGTGTTGTGTCTATTTTGCAGCACCAGGAAAGCCAACCATATTACCTGAGGAATGTAGCGCTGAGAACAATAGCGTAACTATTGTATGGCAGCCACATTCAGAAAGTATTGTTGACAACTATTATCTAGAGATTGACGATGGAAACAGTGGAGATTTTAGAGTAAGTTTAATTTGAAAAATGTGTTCTTCCTTGAATCTGTAATAAAGAGATAGACATGTCTTCCATGATTGAAGAAGTCAGTCCATTTGACAGTCAAATGAAGGCCATATATTTTGTACAAGTGGAAGTTATTTCATCTTCAGTTTTGACTTTCCCCGTTGTTTTATTATTAATTAATAAAGATTGGTTATCACATGAATCTGTTTGGCTGTACTGGCCATTAACCAATGTATGACCATATCTTCCTTTGGCTATCTAAAATAGAAAAAAATACTATTTATGGCAGATAAAAGTGCATGATTTACCATAATATCTTTTATAATGGCATTTTTTTATCAAAGGAAAGGTTAAATACAAGGAAGTTGAGACAAAAAGTAGTTCTAAAATGGCTTCCTTTATATATTGACTAAAATTCCTTTGAAGACAGAAGCCACATACCAGGAGTGTCGTGTCCTCAGATTGAATTTATTCCACAATGGATGTGCCATTTGCATGATTGAAAGTTTTAAGATGATAACTTGGAATTACAGATCACATTGGTAATATGATCAGAGTTTCTTCAAGTATTTCTTTAATTTGATTTCCCATGAATCCTTTGCACATGCCAAAAGTTGTTGAATTAGTAAATCTATTTATCTCTGCCAGTAATAATTTAAAAAATTTTAAATTTAAAGCTTAAAAAAATTGTTCATCTTTAAAACTTTTAAATTATATAATACTTCCTCTTTTTATGATGCATTCATCATTTTTGAATAATTTTTAAATTGAAAGGAATGAATTGAATTTATTTTTTTGTAGTTTGAATTTCTAAGACCAAGTCAAAGTACTTCAAAGACTTAAATCTATTTCAAACTTTTAGACTTTGCCATATTCCAATACACAGAAATTTTAATTAGTCAGAGAAAGGAGAAATGGAAAAATTTCAATGAAACAGCAACCCAACAGCTAAAATCAACCAAAATAGATAGTTTGTTGTAGACTATTTTTATACCTTGTGAAGTATGGTACTTTACATTTTAACGCTATTTCTTGCATTTTAAAGGTTTTCTGTCTTCTTGAAAAATAATTGCCAAACCCTTGAACCAAAAACACATTTGATATAGACAGTGTGTATGGGTATGATACACACTCTTACAAAACAATTCATAGGTCCATGAATGTGGCCTATATTTTCTCAAGAATTTAATATTTGAAAATAAGATTAATGAAAATACATGATACTGATTTCAATGATTGATTGATTGTTGCATGCTAAATGTCCAGTGGCAAGTATTTTATGCATATTCAGGACTGGCTGATCTTTATGCAGCTGTCATATATTCCTAGAATAACCTTCTTCAGAAATGCTCCAGACCAGAACTTTTAAAAGCCATACTTGTTCGCATCAAAAACCAAACCAGTCATAAATTATTATGGTATTATAACATCATTGCTAATCTAGTATCCCATAAACTTGTAAAACTTGCATTTGTGTGAGCATTGTTACTGCCAGTACTTTTCTGTTTTATTTGAAAAAAAAATAATTATGAAACATATTAAACTGAAATTTCATTGACTTATTTCTACCAATTTTTAACTTATTTTAATATATTCATTCTTTTGAGAAGTTCATGGTTTGGATGAGATGGTTAAGAGTTTCAAATGAGCACTAAACCCTCTTTCAGATAAAACACACCATCAAATGTTGGTCTTATTGATATATCATTGTTAATTTGCTAATTCCTTGACTCTTACATGATTTATTAGATATTTTGTTATAAATATATTTTCCAATACAAGTATTTTCTTACAGGAAAGCAATTTCTACACAAGTCCAGTATCAGATTTTAACTGATTTCACCTTTGTGTGCTTTTCTTGTATATTTGCATATATATTCATGTACTCTCATTAATATGACTATCCCACATAATTGAAGTCTTAATTAGTCTATAAATTTTGTGCATAATAAAACTTTTATCTACCTGGGTTTCTAAAACTTTTATAATCAATATTTTCGTTAAGCCTTTGACTAAAATAATGAAAGAATAAACATCTATAAATGTAAATTCCATCAGACATCAGTCAATTACTAGATTCTTTTCATTGATTAAAAAAACTTTATAAATGAATCTATAAGAATGTATGAAATACCCTACATTTTCGACATCATAGTCAATATTGCTGAGTAGGCAAAAATATCATTGCGAAAAAAGCAAATTAAGCTGAATCAACACTGGAAACATTAAGCACTTACGGCGGAATAATAATGGAATGGTGGCAGATAAACATGTTTTTATTATTGGTGTCTCGTAGTGAAGAACAATTGTCACCGAACTAAATGTTCTAAATTTACACTAATTAGTAAAGGGCAGTGGAAACATTCGGTTAATCAAAATAGTTTTACTAATGTCTTTAAAGAACAATTGTTACCCGATTTATTGCCGAAGAATATACTAATTGACAAATAGCAACTGAAGGTTGGGTTAATAAAATGTTTTAATGGTGTCTACGCGTAATGAACAATCGTCACCATATTAATTAACTTACAGTAAATGTAATAATTGTAAAAGCATTAACGAAGAGCAAACAAGGGATTGGGAAATAATAAAATGCAATTACTGGTGTCTAGGAATTAAAGACAATTGTCGCTATACTAATCTTAAACACATTATAACAATAATCATAAGTGTCCCAAAAAACCAATTTGTCGCTTTACTAATCTTAAAAGCATTTTAACAATAAACATAAGTGTCCCAAAAAAACAATTGTTGCTTTACTAATCTTAAAAACATTTTAATAGTTAACATAAGTATCCCAAAAAGAGAACAATGTCACTACTAAACTAGATATTATGTTTTCCAAGCATTTTACTTTCTAGCAGAGATATCAGAAGATGTTAAACATCCCATTGATATTTAATTTTGTGAAAACAAATGTTATCCCAAACAAGGAAACAATTACCTCTTTATAAGGTTTTCTTATGTTGGTCTGTTCAGATTTCAATTGGGTTTGTTCTCTTTTTTTAAGGCTTTTGAAGCATATCTTACAATGGGGGAAGTAGATCATTGATCAAGGCCATACTGTATAGTTCCCTTTTATGTCTAGTAGTCTGCCCAAATGTAAAACTGTCCTGCTGAGCCATTTATTTATGTATCAGAAGAATAATAACAAGTAAATTTATATTACCTATCCTTTCCATATGTTTTGACAAATTAGGGAAACAATAATTATCTGGTAAATGTAAGACTGCAGTATTTGGGACTTTCATAAAATATATTGGCCATTGTCAGGAAGTATTACTTAAAGAAAGTCCATAAAAGTCCATGGTCAGTCAGCAGACACAACAGGAAATGTAGAAGTTTATTTCCGACACCACATTATGATATCTAGCAAAATTTGTATGTGAAACAAAAACAAAAAAATAAACTATTAGTTTCGATTTAAGCAAAATATTATGTAAACGAAATTAAGGTTGCCATATTTTTTGTGTTCTGTCCCTGCCTCAGATAACAAAAAACAACTCAAATCATCACATTCATTCCCTTACCATCCTGCACTGTTCTGTAATTGAAATATTAATACGTGTAATTTATAACTTTTTGAAAATTTTATTATTTTATCCAATTATTTTGTTGGATCAGTATGGAGTACTGTTTCAATTTTAATTCACAACTAATGAATTCTGTGGATCAGAGAGGTATTCCAGCAAGCAAATGTCTTTACTGAAAAAAAGATGCCAAACCATGATACAAATTGAGTTAATTACAAAAACCACACAAGTTGCAAAAAATGCAATCAGCTCTGTGTAAATCACAATATACTGAAGTCAAAAATTGAAGGTTTTTAAAATAAATTATTCACAGATAATTGACATCCTCTGATATGCTGCAGTGGTGGATGATATACTATCAAATCTTAAGTAAATGTATAAAAGTCAGTCATAATTACTTATAAAACGTTCTTTTTATCATGTTTATCAAGTAAGTAATCAACATGTTACATCATCGATTGGTTTAATGATCGTAGGTGTAAAAGATTGTCATAAAAACAGGTTAACTTGTCTTTGATGATTATGATACTTATCATGGCATGACATTAATTATTGCTCAGCTGCTATTAAATTTTATATCATATATCTTTTAAATTTTGATTGGCGAATTTATTAGCATTTGGGTTATGCAGGTACATAGTTGTCATAGTTTTATAGTTTACTAGGAAACATGTACAATCAAGATGAAAGGTATAAAAACGTGGCCTGTTTATTTGATGTGAAACATTATTTGAAGTTGTCAACACTTTTCAAGCCATTATTCTTCATTTGTCAGTATCTTCTGTAAACTTACAACAGTTACTACTTGAAAAAAACGTTAAGATTTTTTTTAATGTTAATTTCTCTCTTATTATGAGTAATAGGATAACTATATTTGGTATGTTGGTACCTTGCAAGGTCCTCATGTCTGTCAGACAGTTTTCACTTGACCTCGACCTCATTTCATGGATCATTGAACAAGGTTAAGTTTTCATGGTCAAGTCCATATCTCAGATACTATAAGCAATAGGTCTACTATATTTGGTGTATGTAATGATTGTAAGGTGTACATGTCCAACTGGCAGGTGTCATCTGACCTTGACCTCATTTTCATGGTTCATTGCTCAATGTTAAGTTTTTGTGTTTTGGTCTGTCTTTTCTAATACTGTATGCAACAGGTCAACTATATTTGGTGTATGGAAATATTTTACTATGTACATGTCAGTCTGGCAGGTTTTATTTGACCTTGACCTCATGTTCATGGTTCATTACTCAATGTTAAGTTTTTGTGTTTTGGTCTGTTTTTCTAATACTGTATGCAATAGGTCAACTATATTTGGTGTATGGAAATATTTTACGATGTACATGTCAGTCTGGGAGGTTTTATTTGACATTGACTCATTTTCATGGTTCATTGCTCAGCGTTAAGTTTTTGTGTTTTGGTCTGTTTTTCTCAAATGTTAAGCAATAGGTCAACTATATTTGGTGTATGGAATGATTGTAAGGTGTATATGTCTGTCTGGCAGGTATCATCTGACCTTCACCTCATTTTCATGGTTCATTGGTCAATATTCAGTTTTCCTGGTTAACTTTGTTTCTTAGATTCTATAAGCAATGAGTCAACTATATTTGATGCATGGAATGATTTTAAGGTGTACATGTCTGTCTAGCAGGGTTCATCTGACCTTGACCTCATTTTCATGGTTAATTGGTCAAAATAAAATTTCCATGGTTTGGTCTGTTTCTTTTATACTATAAGCAATAGGTCATCTATATTCAGTGTATGGAATGATTGTATTAAAGGTGTTCATGTATTTCCAGCTTGGTTTATCTGACCTTGAATTCACCTCCTTGGATCATAAATGTTAATGTAATACTTGTTGTAAAACTTTATATTAGGACTATCAACATAAAATCAATGTTCAGTATACTAGGCGAGACATTTCAGCATGTGCACTCTTGTTACAGTTTAGTAATTTATTTTATAGGTAGTGTATGTTGGACGTGAGACCATGTGTACAGTAGATGGACTCCATTTCAACAGTTTATACTATGCAAGAGTAAAAGCTGGAAACTATTGCGGTGAAAGTGACTACAGTGACCCAATTAGCCTCCAGACAGCTGAATGTAAGATAATGATATAAAACAAAGCATGATTTTAAACTTGCCATCATCAATAATCTTATTTTTTTAGGAATAATGATATTAAGAGTGTATTTTTTTACGATTCACTTGTTTATTTAGAAATTTCAGGAGATATTTAAAGCAAAATACTATTAGACTTAACGATGCTTTCTTGTCATTGGAATGAGTAAGTTAAATTGTAAATATACAGACTTCAACATTTGATTATTAGACATAGTCATAAGGGATATGTGTGTGCACAGTGTAAAAAAAAGTCTACAAGAATATGTTTTATTAGAAAGAAAATTTGATAGAAGTTCTCAGTTGTTCTTTTCATTGGTTAAAACATCAAATGAAACAAATTCTTCTACTGTGTCTCAATAGATATGGAATGTTTTGGTTAACCTTTGAAGTTCTTTTCAAAACATGAATACACTGTGACTGCTAATCATAGACATGTTTTAACAAAGGGTTTTAGAATGCTATATTTCCCAGAGGGTCTTGCACAAAGGCTCTCATAATAGTATAGTTTCTGGGAACTCCCAGAAACCCTATTTTACAAAGTTTCTGTTCATGCAGTACTCCCAAGAGCCCTATTGTAGTTAGGTTTTGATGATGCAATTATTCCGGTTGGACATGTTACATAAAACATTTGAAAGTGTTCCCATGAAAAAAAATGAAATAAGTAGATGTGGTATGATTGTCAAAAACAAGCTATTTAGTAAGGAAGCATTGCCAGATTTTAGCAAAATATAAGGCAATTTCTGGAACATCTTGTATAGGAAAGTTAGAGCATAACTTTCAGCTGGAAGAAAGGCAATTTCTGGAACATCTTGTATAGGAAAGTTAGAGCATAACTTTCAGCTGGAAGAAAGGCAATTTCTGGAACATCTTGTATAGGAAAGTTAGAGCATAACTTTCAGCTGGAAGAAAGGCAATTTCTGGAACATCTTGTATAGGAAAGTTAGAGCATAACTTTCAGCTGGAAGAAATATCTTCATACTCAGATACATTATTTGTTTAGCCAACCAGTTTTTGTGATTCTTCCTAAATGCTGCCTGCAAGGCAAGAAGAAGCAAAAACCCATTTTAGGATTGATTCAAAGACTGCCAACACTTGAGCTAAGAATACTGTAATGTGACAACCAAGACTCTTATCTTGCAAAGAATAGACAGTCCAAAAAAATGTGTTCATACGGTGGTACAGGTTCATTATCATTTACTGTTTTCTTTGCATCTGAATTTTACAGTATTGAAATAATTGCTAATGAAACTCAGTTAAATTTATTTATGAATTTATTGTAGTTTCAGTTTTTACACGACAAATTTTTACTTAACTAAAAAAAAATTTTTTTAATGCAATGTAGCTTTGATCAAAATTATGATACATCTGTTCAAGTGCACATGAATACATGCAGAGATGAATTGCCACTACCCTCTGTTCTTTTTCCATGGTTTCCTTTTAACTGGTCATGTCATGCATAGCTCATTTCATAACCTTATTGTAGTGAATCAGACATGCTCACAGACTTACAGACAAAAATCATGATACAACAGAGAGGAAAAAAACCAACTTTTGATTCTTTGATCATTAAATAGTAATCAGAACTAGGAGAGCTTTAGATTAGATTTTGACAGTTTGTCAGATTCTGTACTTATAGCCCCTGGGGGACCTTCACTATCTGTTTAAATTAAACTGCAGGGAAATTAACTTGTGGTAATAACAGTTAACCATTTCATTAACATTCAAAGATGTTTAACTGGAGGCAGCCTTTGAATCTTTATGATGAAAAAGTTGAGTCATAAAGCCCATTATATTTTCGTTTTCATAACATTACCTAATAAATTGTTGATGGAATTCAGATTTTTATAGGATATGTTTCTGATTTCAAATTAATTTGATAAGGCAAATATTTTGTCTGCTGTTTTGATAAAATTCATGAGTTTTTTATGATTCTTGGCAGTATTCTACTTACACCCATTGACAATAAAATCCTTATGACAAGAAGTAATAAGTCCTTTTTTTAATTTTGTTATTTTTATTTAAAATTTTATGGCTTAACCTTGTTTACCTTGAAGACCACCTCAAACTAAAAATGAATACAATAATATTTTTTGAAATTGATGTCTCTTCTATTCCATATCTACTTTCACATTGATATCTACTTTCACATTGACATCTGCTTTCACATTGACATCTACTTTCACATTGACATCTTCTTTCACATTGACAACTGCTTTCACAACATCTACTTTCACATTGACATATACTTTCACATTGACATCTGCTTTCACATTGACATCTACTTTCACATTGACATCTGCTTTCACATTGACATCTGCTTTTACATTGACATTTGCTTTCACATTAATATTTACTTTAACATTGTTATTTACTTTCACATTGAAATCTACTTTTACATTGATATCTACATTCAATTTCACATTGATATTTACTCTCATATTGATATAAACATGTATATACTAGTACATTGATATCTACAAGCTTTCATATTGATTTCATATTCTTAGTTTCAATGTCATTAAATCCAGAAACAATATTTTCACACATTTTGTATTTCACTGTCACTGACTTTTATCTTAATTTCAGAGGCTTAATTTTACCTTGACAAGTTTTCAAAAGAAACCAAAAACTGATCAGCTTACATATTTTTTTTCAGTGGCCTGGTTTCACTTTGATCCAGTCTCAGCACATCCAGATATCTTATTTTCTAATGACAATCAGACAGTTACATGTAATAGTTATGACCACCGAGTTGTACTTGGAAGTGTAGGATTTTCTAAAGGTGTACATTACTGGGAGATAGTTGTGGACAGGTATGACTGTCAGACAGACCCAGCTATTGGTATAGCAAGATTTGATGTTGGAAAGTGCTTTATGTTAGGTAAGTAGCTAAGATGGTATTAAGAACTTACTTCAAAGGACAAGAACGTGAAAAGTGCAGCCTGTATATAACTGCTGATCTGGTAAATTTTCAATTTTTTTTAACTGAAAACCCAGAATGCATTTCAGTCACTTGCCTTTAAGAATCAGCCATGACTGGAAAGTATTAATGTTACTGAACTCTTGAATTGAGGTCACCGTACATAATTATTTCTTGACTGTTCTCCCTCATCTGTTGTCTTTTGGTGGTAGTGCTTTCTGTTTTTGGACATGATGATGGTGTGAGTTCAAACCCCAAGATACATTCAAGTTTGATCTTTATTTGATGAGGTTGCCAGTTTTCCTGAAGAAATTCTCTCTTGGTGTACTCCAACCTCCTCCACTAATAAAAACTGCCATGATATATAGACCAATGTGCTGAAATTAGCTTTAAACACCAACAATCAATCAATCAATCAATCCTTGGACAAGATTTTGATTGCCAAATTGGTCTGTTTCTATTTGGGATCCAACTTTTTGTAATTGTCTTAGTAAAATAAGAATAAAAGATACAAAGTTCCAAAAGATATATATCTGAAAAGATTTTAAAAGCTGTAAGATTTTTCTCGTTTTCTTGTAAATTTGTTCTTTAACCATAGACTCTTTACTAATGGGAAAGATGTATAATAGCCATTACCTTTAAGTTATAGCTAGATCATGCCATACCTCTGATTACCAGACACTAATTACTACTTAAAAGTCTCATTTCGTTGGAATTTACTGGCCTTAATGTAATTACATCTAGCAAGCTAATGAAAATAGAGTTTCTGTGTCTTCCTGATTGAACGATGATTAATTCTTTAATGAAGAAAGATACCTAAGTCTGATCAATTCCTATTGCATAGGGTTGACATCCTATAGAACTAACCAGATATATAACAGGGATAGTCCTATATTTACTGACAAAAATATTTTTCAATTGTATTTGTAAAGAAATAGTTTCTAGTCATGGACAGGGAAAGAGGACAGAAAGAGGAGATTATTTGTTTGTTTTATTGATGCAATAAAGATCTAAAAGACTTAATTTGTCAAAATGGGGATTCACATGGAGTAGCTAATCCTCAAATATCATTCAATTAATGTAAGAATGAAGTTTACTTTTGGTTACTTCGACACTTATGGTACTTGTTATGTTTAAAATCAAATTGATTTTAATCTTGTGTAACAAATTTTTTCGACATAAGTCTATCTTTTTTGTACCTTTAAAGAAAATTTTGTTTGACAAAATTTAAGCAAGCCATTGGTATTTTTATTCAGAAGAAATTGGTAACGTAAGATTATAAAAAAGTTCATTCCGTAAATCATTAATAATTCTATACATCTCTGACATTGCCATTTGTTTTATCGAATTTGTATAAATAGAGTATCATTGAAAATAGTTTTCATGGATTAGACTGGGATAAAAATATGCAGATGCATTTGTGCTTTTAGTTTCCCTAACCATATAATTAAATTATTGTTCTTACAAGTTCAGCTAGTAAATTTAATTTCATGCACAGCATATTGGGTGTTTTTTAAAGTAAAAGTGACATATTCATGCTAGCGCTAAATGCATTTTTACATAATTGCATAGATGAAATTTATAATACGATTGATTCTGGCACTTCAGTCATAGTGTCAATTAGTTCTTTATTGATGATATCAAGTTTTATCTTTCATGTCATGAATATGAAAGATAAGTGCAGCTCGTTTAAGAATTGAAGGCATCTTTTTGTTTTTTTCATTTCCTTGGATGAAAAGCATTAACGGAATTCTGTTTTTTTTAAGTATAAACTTGAAATATGAAAGATAAGTGCAGCTCATTTAAGAAATTGAAAGTTCTTTTTGTTTTTTTCATTTCCTTGGATGAAAAGCATTAACGGAATTCCATTTTTTTTTTTAGAATAAACTTGAAATATGAAAGATAAATGCAGCTCATTAAAGAATTGAATCTTTTTATTTTTCATTTCCTTGGATGAAAAGCATTAACTGAATTCCTATTTTTATGGAAAAAATTGGAAAAACTTTAGAAGTGCATTTTACTAAAAATTTGCATTTTATCAAAGCTTTTTGCAACTCTTTGAATGTAAGTAAAAGATGAATGCCATTTGTATGAATACGTTTCAAATTAAAAATCATTGAACTTAACAGAACGGTATTAAATATGAATACAAAGGAATACTTTCAAAAAAATTCCATGTTATCTTCTTAGGATTCTCTCTTATATTTTGAAATAGCACCATAGGATTTGAAATATCTCTGTTCCTTCAGAATTATAGCACCTTATATAAAATTTATTTGGAGAATACCATTGTAAAATATATAGTACCATGGTGCTATAAATTCCTGGGGAAAACACTGCAGTATTGTAATTCTAGCATTGTTATGGAAACCTATGCAATGATAAAATGTATGCTTCATTTGGTATTTAAGTCAGAAAGCTTCCTCTAAGCCAATACAATTGTGGAGATTGTTGAGGGAAGCTTTTAACACAGAGCAAAAGCACACACCTACTGCAGTTCTAAGATGGTCATGAACACAACTTTGCTAGATGTCTTTACAGCTTCACTTGTGTCCATACAAAACTTTAAAATATTAAAACATTACAGGATTTAAAGGGTAAAGAAATATAACAAAAACGGTCATTATTAGTCGAAAGATGTCATTGTAAATACAGAAATAATGCACACATTTACTGCAGAGGACATTAAGATTTTTGTTATATAACTTTTTAGTTAATATATGAGCTAAAAAAATTAAACATTAAGACTTTTGATCAGCTGACAGTGGTAGATTAATGGAGTCCTCCTTACAATTACCACAAATATATGACAATTTGAAAAGTGCTAAGTGCCCTGTAAACACTTTATAGATTTTGTGCACCCCTTACCTCATCTCCTGGACAGCTCCCAAATTAGCCTATGTTATTGTTGTTTCCTTAAATATTTTGTTACACTTCATGCACTGTATACACAAATATCTTGCTAGGGCCATCTGTTTCTATATGTTATTGTAGAGTATCAGTAGAGAGTGTAATACTTATAAGTTTCATAATGAGTGAGAATTGGATATCACTTGATATCAACCCTTATTGAATTTCAATATAATTATAAACGAGCCTTTGGCGAGTAGCGAGTTTATTACTAATATTTGACTTAAATAACGAGACTTTCGTATAACTTTTATATCTCTTCATGCAAGAAATAGATAACTAGCCGCAACCATCAGAGAATTATGTTTAATAAACAGAATGTAATATCTTTTATGAATATCTAACATCAAATAAATGATTTAATGAACTACCATTGCTCATGTGCACTGTACAATATTTGGTTTCATTAACAACTTATGAATTTTTTGAAATGCACAAATCGTACATCAAATAGAATTCAGTATTTCCATATTTTTATTAAAGTACCCTATTAGTTATAGATTATATATGAAATTCTTCAACCATATATCATGGATGCTTTACTGTTTTAATTATATCGCTATCAAGTTTTGAAAGAGAAAAAGAAAACAAACCATAACTTTTTCCCATCTGTTCACCATCCTAAGGACAAAAATTGAGAATAAATATTTTTCTTTATTCTTCCTTTAATGTCAAGAGATTAATGCATTGAGTTCATTTTACCATAAAATGAATAGAACATTTCAAAGGATTCATTCACGGTTTGTTTTATTTCTTCTTTTTGTGTTGGTATTATAGTTGCTTTATTCACTCTTTTTGCTGACTTCTGCCGTTGATTTTAAATAACCACAGAGGTTGAACATGTAAAATACATTTCACCACATCGTTAAAGTTACGCAATTCTAACGACTGTTGTTACGCAAGTAATTAGCACCTCAAATACTTGAACAAGAATCAAATCCAGCTATAAAAGTACAGTTGTGAATTTACATCAGAAAATAGAAAGATGAAATTACTGATTATGTTGTCCATACAAGGGTTTGGTATAGGAATTAAACATTCTAGATTAGATTTCACACTTTATTCCTCCGTTTACTTCTCTCATCTGTTAATGTTGACAATTTATCTTCTGTTTTATCTCTGAAGCAATTTATTGGTATTTAAAATATCAAATATTATCTTTCTGATAAGTACTTAAAACATTTTTGTTGGTGTTTGCAATGACTGTTTTTATTTCAACAAGACAGACAATAGAGTAATAAAAGTGCACTTGTGACTTCATGTCAGGAAAGGGAATAATAAAATTACAGTAGGTTTTCAATGCAATTTAGGTTTTTTTCTTTAAAGTATTGCATTTAACCTTTACCAAAAATAAAAAAGATAAAATTTTAAAATACTAAAGGGAAGGGTTATAAATTTTAAAAAAAATAATTGTAAGTTAGAAAAGAACAAACAACACGATGGCTGATAAAGAAAACATTAAAAGACAAACAGCAGTCCATAAAACATTGCAAAGAATAGGAAAGATTAGGTAACCAAAACCCCACTAAAATCGTAAGGATTAACCCATGCGTTCTGGAAGTGAAAGCTGTTTTTAGGATGAACATAATCATTTCCTCCACCAATTAAAGCTCAGTTTTATTTCAACTTTATATTTGAAGTTTATAATCATTCTAGGAAATCTTTTAATTATCTAAACCCTGTTGTTTGATCCTTGAAAAATTCCTTACAGAAAAAAAATCTGGATATTAATTAACAAATTTTCAATTACTCTGTGGAATCTTAACCTTTGGAATGCTTTCAAATTATGACTGGTATTTAAAATATCAAATATTATCATTCTGATAAGTACTAAAAACATTTTTGTTGGTGTTTGCAATGACTGTTTTTATTTCAACAAGACAGACAATAGAGTAATAAAAGTACAGTTGTGACTTCATGTCAGGAAAGGGAATAATAAAATTACAGTAGGTTTTCAATGCAATTTAGGTTTTTTTTTTAAAGTATTGCATTTAACCTTTACCAAAAATAGAAAGATAAAATTTTAAAATACTAAAGGGAAGGGTTATAAATTTAAAAAAAAAAATCGTAAGTTAGAAAAGAACAAACAGCACGATGGCTGATAAAGAAAACATTAAAAGACAAACAGCAGTCCATAAAACATTGGAAAGATTAGGTAACCAAAACCCCACTAAAATCGTAAGGATTAACCCAGGCGTTCTGGAAGTGAAAGCTGTTTTTAGAATGAACATAATCATTTCCTCCACCAATTAAAGCTCAGTTTTATTTCAACTTTATATTTGAAGTTTATAATCATTCTAGGAAATCTTTTAATTATCTAAACCCTGTTGTTTGATCCTTGAAATAATTCCTTACAGAAAAAAAATCTGGATTTTAATAGTTAGCAAATTTTCAATTACTCTGTGGAATCTAAACCTTTGGAATGCTTTCAAATTATGACTTATGATACCGGTAATTCATTTATTGGAGTTTAATGCTACTTTCAATACATAGTTTAATTTAGTAATGAAAGTTCACATATGAATTTCAGATGGGAGTATTATGTTCTGGATTCAATTAGATATTTATTTCTTTGTTTATTTCTTTCATCTGTTTATCAGAATATTTTATTTTATTTTCGTAGTTTAATTTATATTTTGACTGCTATGTATTACTACCTTGAGTATCAGTTATAAAGATGTGGGCGTATCCTTACAGCATTTTGCAGACATATATAAGTTGCTGATACATTTTATTACTAACTTTTAAGCTGACTTGGCTAAAAAATGGCTAATAAAGACACTTCTATTTACCGAAAGGTAATCTAAATTAGAAGTTTCACAGACATAGATTGATGAAATTATTGAATAGATTTAACCAGACTGGCTTTATTAGAATAGGAAAATAATCCAAATCACCTTTTTTAGGTTAAGTTAATCTATAATGACATTTTGCAGACATAAATAGATTGGTTATGTTACTATCTAAATTTTAGGTTAAGTTAATCTATAATAACATTTTGCAGACATAAAAAGATTGGTTATGTTACTATATACATTTTAGCTGACTGGACTTTGCTGAAAAGGCTATGTAATTCACTGGTAAATACTTCAGTTTAAGCAAAGATAATCTCAGTCACTAAGCTCATTTTGAAGTACATTCAGATGGTGATATTTATAAGGTAACTGAAAATGGTATTAGTATCACTTTTTACCTTTTCTTAAATAGAATGTCGCTAAATAATGTACATGTTTAAGCCATGTCCATTCAGGTAAAAGTAATGGAGTACTATCTAATATTATTAATTCGTATATTTTAACTAATTTGATTCGTTCAGGGATAGTCACATGTTTAACTATATTTTCGAAGGTAGGCAGAAAACGGCGGATTGCAAAAAGCATATTGCATAGCATAAAGCATATTGCACGGTTATTTTTAGAATATCTAAAAACCGATATACTTTGTGACGTCATGGAATGAATTTCATGATATTGTTAAAAGTTTTATTAAAAAATATCTTTGATCGATTATTTGAAGAAAAAAAATCTTCAAATACATAAGATGTTAAAAAGCAAATAAATGAAATTACAACTAATATGTTGTTATTGTCTAGGAGACAATATGATATCTATAAATTTCCAACAAAATCAAACGACGATTTTCATACAAATATGGTCGGAAATTAATAATATAACAATTATAGCCTATGTATGAGGTCAATACAGGATATATCAACCCAAAGAAGTATATTGACCTCGGACTTCGTGCTCAGTCAATATAATTCTTTCAGGTCAATATATCCTTGTATCGACCTCATACAAAGGCTATAATTGTATAATATTATTAATTCGTATATTTTAACTAATTTGATTTGTCAGGGATAGTCACATGTTAAACTATATTTTCGAAGGTAGACAGAAAACGGCGGATAGCAAAAAGCATATTGCATAGCAAAAAAGCATATTGCACGGTTATTTTTAGAAAATCTAAAAACCGATATACTTTGTGACGTCATGTAATGAATTTCATGATATTGTTAAAAGTTTATTAAAAACTATAGAAAACTATAGAAAACAAATCTTCAAATACATAAGATGTTAAAAAACAAACATGGTTTCTTTTTCTATGGCTGTATTGTATTGCTCTTTGCTCGCTGCTACCATTTTGCTTCTAGATATTTGTGTTTCAGGTAATGTGGATTGTTTTGCTGAACTTTTAATTCACAATTTTATGAAGAATACAAATCTTGACTCTTACTCTTTAAACTGTTGTCCCCCAAACAGACAATGTTGTATACATTTGCAGGCTACAAAAATAACCTTTATTGTATTTTTATATTTTACAGGTAAGGATGACAAAGCTTGGAGTATGTATATTGATGACAGTAGAAGTTGGTTCTTACATAATGATGAACATCGGAATCGAACTGACGGAGGTATTCAACGAGGAAGTGTCATTGGTGTTTTATTGAACTTAGAAAAACAACTTATGTGTTATTATGTGGATGAACAGCCACATGGACCAATTGCTTTCAATGATCTCCGCGGGGTATTTTTCCCAGCAGTCAGTATTAATAGAAATGTACAAGTGACACTCAGGACAGGTTTAGCCCCACCACCTGAATGTGAAACAGAAGATGAATGAACTTAAAAAAGGGAGATAATTTTGTCTGTGATGTTGTTATGTAGGACTTTACTTTTAAGAATGATCTTATGGTGGCAGCATAATTTATATAACGAAGATTCATAATGAAAAATATAAAGCATTCTGGGAAATATTTTTGAATGCTTACACCAAAATGTTTTTACTGGTCAATGACATCTGAAACTATGGAAATTCAAAAAATCTGTGTTACATAAAATTTATGGTGTATACATATGAAATGAAATTACCCAAGTACCAGAATAGTGACACAATTTTGTTTAATTTTTGAAGAAAGGTTTTTCTTTCTCTCAGTATTATAATACCATCATTCATACAAACTATGAGGTTGTGAATTATACAAATATTCATCACAGTCATTTTTGTGCCATATTAGTTGTTTTTTAACAGTTGCAATATTTTTAATTAGAATTAAATGTTAAACTTATGGTATGCATCTGTCTTCATATTAGAATGTTTCATCATAAATTCAATATCTAGGTCACAAGTCATTGGACATTATAAATCTTAAATTGATATTCAAGTCAGAATAAGTGAATACAGATTGGAAAATTTTCCTTTATGGTTTCATTTGAAGCCAACAATTTTTGAGAAAAATATTTTTTGATGTCATTTTTTTCAAATTTTCATGAAGCTTTTTTGTCATCATATTTTCACATTTTTTAAATAATTGAAGTTGAGAGTTTTTTTCATGAGCTGAACACAAATTTCAAAATATTTTAAATTTGACAGCACAATATATCCAGATTTTACAAAATGAATTAAGAGACTATTGATAATTCAATAAAGGAGTACAATATAGAAAAAAAGATGAACACTTTTGAAAAATGAACACCCTAGAACAATTTTCCAATGCCAACACCTAACACAGATCAGAAAACAGATCCTGAGAACAATGATCTATTTTGCTTAAAAATTTTGATTGAATAGTTCAAAAGAAAGTATATTTTAGGACATAATATAGACTTTGAAGATAAACATCTCCCATAAATATATTTTCCCACATTTTGTTAAAGCCTTGAACAATAATATATTAGGACAAAAAGGTGTTTTTTTTTTTTTACCAGAATCACAGTTCTGGTATGAATACTTATGTGCTACAGTTGATTTGGTCACCATGCTGCTAGATATAGTCCATTGATTGTGTTACATATTGCTTTTGATGGTGTGAGTTGTCTGTATTTTGCCAGTGCAATGTATTTATTATTACTTTTTGTGTCGCCTGCGACAAAATTCGCACAAGGTGAGACATAGGTGTGGCTTTTTCGGCAGAAACTTTGAATTAACTTGCATTGTTGCTGTCCATGAGATAGTCTTTCTGAATTTTCTGTGGACAGGCGAGAAATATCTGTGTCAACAGTTTATTGTCTTATACACAGCTGATGCAGTACCTTGTTTGTTACAATCTTTTATTGATCTCTAGGGTGATTTACATGTATATTTTGTTTTTAATGATATATTAATGTTAGAACATTCATCTGTAGGGTAAAAGAGATTTATTCATGATTACGTGACATTTTATCAAAGGAAATGGACTAACTTCAAACTGAGTTATAATTGATACTTAAATGTAGATTTATAAAAAATCACAATTACTTTCGAATTACATGAAAGCCTGGAGATTTGTACAGGAAACTGGAATTCATATAAAATGCATGTTTTGAATTTCAATTAAGTTCGATATCGGCGTTATAATTGGATAGGAGCATGATAAAACAATTGCTTATTTTAAGGGCAAAAAAATAGAATTAAAATTAGAGACACATAAAGTGGAATACTGAGAAATTCTATCGTATGAAAGATTAACCAGGCAATGTTTCACTCATGTCAATTTAATGGTTAAATTCAGACTCTTTCGAGTGAATAATAAAAATTTGCTGTTGAAATTTCAAATTTGAAAAGATACATGATGAGTACATATCACTTTTGTTTAAAGTCCAGAAAAAGTTGTCTAGAGTTTGAGGCACTTTAAAATTTAAATCTCAAGCCTAGACCATATCAAATGTGTAACATATTTTGAAATATTTATGATAAATTTATGCAAATAAATCATATTTTTTGCTGACAGATATGAACGGAGACCTGAACTGATCTCAGCTGACCATTTAACAGCTAAACTAATGAAATCCATGAAGACAATCAGCTTCATTTAATATTCAGGGAACTCATTCATGAATATTTATACATGTGATTCTTCAATTAATATTTATAAATTATTAATGAAAATTTATAAATTACTGATGAATGGTTATAACTCATTTATTAAGATCAGCATTTTATTTCATGAAAATGTCCACAAAAAGAATTTAATGTCAAGAGCATGTTATTGTTGTTCTCCTTCAGAAAGTCACAGAAAAAAATGGGAAAACATCTTTCAATGTCATTTTGGATGATTTTCTGTTGGTTGGTTGCTGACCCCTTGACATTTACCCCCAGATCTCCTTTCATAATAGTAAAACCCATCATTGTTGGTTGGTGAGCATTTTATACATCTTAGCCTGATAACATTTATTTGTTTAGTGGAATTATGTTGTTGGGTTGATGTCTCACGGACACTTACCTCTTATCTCCTTTTTTTACTTTTCTTTTAATAATTATTGTGCAATAAAATGTGATACAGTCTTTATAACTGTATTGAGAATGCTTTAGAGTTCTTATATCTGTATATTTTTACCAGTAATGTAGCTACTTAATACAGCATTTCTGATTCTATCAAAGGAATCGAATAGCATTTGTATTTTTATTGAGCAATTGAAAAGTAGCAAATTGTTAATGGCTTTTTAGTTTTACAGTTTGTTTTGACAGTTATTTAAGGAATCCATACATAACATGTGAATCAGATATCAACACAGAATAATTATGGCATGTGAGACAGTATAATGCTGTAATTGAATATTTATTATAGAAATAAAACTTCTTTAAATGATATTTGTTTTTTCATTAAAGTTTATGATGAGTATTATCTGGAATTGGTGAAGTGATTTGAAGAAAATGTAAATTCTGCAACATTCTTCGCCTGAGAACCAACTATAGAAGATGCACATATAGTACAGGTGGTTATGTATAGGTAATCAGTTTGAGACAGGAGAACCTTGTAAAGAATCTGTAAACCCCATGTACATGAAGGAAAGCCCAGTATCATACAGGTGAAAATAATATAGGTTTAGAACCCCTATTTTTTTAGGGGGAAAGATATATTCTTTCTTATGGCATCACCTCACAAACTTTGATGTAGCTGTGTTAACCACTACATCTTCATACACTGAAATATAGTTCACACAACTTAGGTCAATAGGCACAAATGAACTGAGTTGTCATACTCAAGTATGGATGTCATTAGTTTTGTCGGTATGATTGCTATTTTGGACATTGTTGTTATTAAAAGTGCCTTGATACAATAGAATTAAGTCTGTAATGATCAACAAAAGATTTAAGACAAAGGTGGGTTTTAAAGGTAAAACAAATAATAAGTAATAAGACTTACACTTTAGATAGTGTCATGTCCTCTCTAAAAAGATTTTATAATTACTTTAAATTTCAGAAATTATTAGGATTTTTGAAGTATGGACAAAAATGCGAGATTATTTACTGTGATTTCAGGAAAATCTGAATATAGATATATGTATCAGGTATCAAAATGGGAGTTGTTATTGCGATACTCACCCAGTCACATTATTTCCCATTGATAAAAACCTCACAACAATTTCTGAATTTTCAGTAGTGTTGTGTTATAAAAAGATTATGGTAGCCAGCCTCATGTCACCTTCTCTGGAAAGATTATGGTAGCCAGGGCCATGTCATGTTCTTTTGAAAGATTCTAGTTACAAATGCAAGTTCATGTTCTCAGGAATGCAATAAGGTTCGTCATTCTGTTGATTGAGAGTACATATGTTATAGAATAGGGAATAGAAACCAGGACTGTTTTAAAGAGGTCTTTAACGCAGCAAGAAAATCCAGCATCCGGAGGTGGGCTTCAGCTGGCCCCTAAACAATAATGTATACTAGTTCAGCGAAATAAACGCCATACTTAACTCCAAAACATACATAAACCAAAACTTAAAAAAAACAACACAACACTAACAAAGGCTAAAGGTTCCGGACCTGGGAGAGGCGCAAAAATGCGGCTGGGTTAAACATGTTTTATGACCTCTTAACCCTCCCCTATACCTCTAGCCAATGTGTGATAAACAGACACACAGCAATACACACAGTAAAACTCAGTTTAGAAGAAGTCAGAGTCTGATGTTAAAACAGGTAACAGAAGAAACTAAGCAATGATCAACATAAATTAACAAAGAACCACTAGCAATTGCTGACATGCCAGCTCCAGACCACAATTAAACTGATCGAAGATTATGTCTTCATCATATGAAAATCAACCACAATCCTTCCCGTTAGGGTTTAGTATCATGTCATCATAAATTACATGAGAAGAACATAACCTGTATCATGCCAAGAACTGGTTTTAGAATAAATGTGTTTATTTCTGATGCAAGGACCCTATGAGTGAATAAATATTAGTTAAAAGGAAATGCCATCTTTAATGACTTTACAACAGTATTGTAACGATATCCCCTGTGAATAAGTCTGTCTAAATGTTTGGTTAGCTTTTTAGATGAATGACAACATTTTTGTGCTTTGTATAAAATATAGCCATAAAAGATGGGATGTGATTGTATTCTATGGGATGTATCATTATCCTTTTTGCATCTTTAACTCCCTGTAGAGGAACAATACTTCAGCATATATAACTGGTGCTCTGTTTTTGTAAAATATCTAGATCAAAATACTACACAACCTCTCTAGATCAGGATTATTCACAAAATGTTTAAATCAGGATAATTCACAAAATATTTAGATTAGAATAATGCACAAATATTTAGATTAGGATAATATACAAACTATCCAGTACAGGATAATGCACAAAATATCTAGACCAGGATAATGCACAAACTATCTAGATCAAAATATTGCACGAACTATCCAATACAGGATAATGCACAAAATATCTAGATCAGGGTAATGCACAAAATATCTAGATCAGGATTTAGCACAAACTATCCAGAACAGGATAATGCACACAATATCTAGATCAGGGTAATGCACACAATATCTAGATCAGGATATAGCACAAACTTTCCAGAATAGGATAATACACAAAATATGTAGATCTTCTTATATCTAGATCAAGGTAATGCACACAATATCTAGATCAGGATAGTGCTAACAATTAAATATTTAGATCAGGATAATACACAAAATATTTAGATCAGTATAATGCATAAAATATCTGGATCAATATATTGCAGTAACTATCCATAACAGGATAATGCACAAAATATCTAGATCAAAATGATACACCAACTATCCAAAACAAGATAATGCACAAAATATCTAGATCAAGGTAATGCACAAACTTTCTAGATCAGGATAATTCACAAAATATTTAGATCGGGATAATTCACAAAATATCTAGTTCAGAATAATGCACAAACTATCTTGAACAGGATAATGCACAAAATGTCTAGACCAGGATAATGCACAAAGTATCTAAATAAGGATCATGCACTTAATATTGCATAAACTATCCAGTACAGAAAAATGTACAAAATATCTTGACCAAGATAGTGCAAAAATGTCTTTATCAGGATAATGCAAACAATTTTAAGATCGGGATAATGCACATAATATCTAGATCATGATAATGCACATAATATCTAGATCACGATAATGCACATAATATCTAGATCACGATAATGCACAAAATATCTAGATCAAAATATTGCACCAACTATCCAGAATAAGATAATGCACAAAATATTTTGATCAGGGTAATTCACAAAATATCCAGTACAGGATAATGCACAAAATATAGATACCAGGATAATACACAAAGTATCTAAATAAGGATAATGCACAACATATTGCATAAACTATTCAGTATATGATAATGTACAAAAAATCTAGACCAGAATAATGCACAAAATATTTAGATCGGGATAATGCACAAAATATTTAGATCGGGATAATGCACAAAATATCCAGATCAGGATAATGCACAAACTATCTAGATCAGGTTAATGCAAACAATATTCAGATCGGGATACTGCACAAAATATCTAGACCAGGACCATGCACACAAACTATCCAGATTAGGATAATGCACAAACTTTCTAGATCAGGAAATTCACAACATATTTAGATCAGGGTAATGCACAAACTATCTAGGTAAGGATAATGCACAAAATATCTTGATCGTGCATAAAATCTGCAGTTTCGGTATGACTTTGTTTTGTTGCGGTTTTTTTTCCCATAGTGATTCTTCTTCTTAAATGCATTTATATTTACCTTGTACTGATAAACAAATAAATTTAAACATTCAGAAACAACAAAAAAAAACATTACGTTTTGGAACAAAATAGTAAAATAAAAGGACTGGTGTCGGTGCATGAAAACAATTATTTCTTCTGCATCTTTTCTTTTGAACTCATAATCGTTGTCGTTGTCATGTTGTACATTCTAAAAGAAAAACCTTGTCATAGATCTGGGACGATATTTTTTTCAATTGAATTATTAACTTAACATTTTATACATGCAAATTGGTTTCTTATAATACATCGTATTTGAAAAAAACGGAAAGTCAGTATATCAGTCCTATGCAGTTTTTACACAAGCTTCGTATTAATTCTTGTCATTATTTCTTTAAAAAAATGAAGAAAAACCTTCATAATTAATAGACTATTCAGAATAGCACACTATAAAAAATCATTATACATAACTCTCAACAAAATTAAAAAAATTATTTTAGTGCCAAATTACAATTTGACATGTCAAGTCGAACATAAGAATATCATAAAAAAAACTCTGACCATAATAAAAAAAGTAATTTGTAACATAAAAAACCTGACTTCTGATACAAACGGATTTCTCATTAAGAACATGTTTTATTAAATGGTTGACGAATCGGGACATTGACTGTTATTGTCTCAATAAAGGTTTCTGGAGATTGGAGTCATGTTTAGGTCATTAGTGCTAATTGGTCCACATTTCCTTTTCCGAAGTATCCTGACATGTTGGTTTAACATTTGCTTAATTTTTTGCTGAATGGTATTATAGTAAAATGCAAAGAAAATACATACACGATTAAAAAGTACGGTCTATGCCACCAGTATTCTTTGTAATGTAATTTAGAATCGTTGTTAATAAAATTGAGAATGGAAACGGGGAATGTGTCCACTGATAAACAACAATAACCCGACCAAAGAGCAGAAAACAGACCCAGGTCACCAATGGGTCTTCAACACAGCGAGAAAATTCCGCATCCGGAGGAGGGAATTTATGTTCAAAACCAAGAGTTCTTTTATTGTTGTAAAACCTGTACGGCTCGCAATTTGAAGGATTAAAATTAATTTGCTTATTAGTACCATATATATACATAAAGATATTTTACACCAGTTATAACGTTGGTGCTTAAAAGCTATTACTGTAAAAATACTGTGGAAAATGGTGTGATTTTCGACATAAATAAAAAAAGTATTTTGACTTGCGATGCCGATATAGCCAAACTTTGCCTATTTTCTATAACCTCACTGTTTTAAGTGTCTTTTATTAGGATGTGTGTATTTCCGAATAGGTTCAAAATAGTATGGTTTCGCACAACACAGTGACTTCATAGCTCAAAACATTTATTCTGTATACTTATACATTGGTATTTTCTATCTATTCAAATTGTTTATGCCCCGCCTACGATAGGCATATTTTTTATCCTCACTTGTTTTTTTTGTCAGATATTTGGCTGCATCTGTTGATTTTATTTCCAGTTTGTATATACACTAGTGGAGATTAAAGCTTTAGGCCATGCATACGCTTGTTCGTACTTGGTGACCTCAAGATGGCTATTTTAGTTGTCGTGTGATGTTGGTTTACTG